TGCTGCTTCAGGCACTCCAGATAATGTATAGGAACAGATACTACTTTATTTGACTTAGGCGGCTTGTCATCACGCCCCTCTACCCACCTTGATTTCGGGGGCTATTGGGAGACGTATTTTAATTGCCTCTGCGTCCTCGATTCTTTGTTGAGTGCATACGTCTGTTTTAGTATGGTCACTGATTATCTCGTCTCAGTTGATTCTTTAAACGTATGTTTGCTTCCTGAATGAATAGCTGCTGGTTGTTCACCTTGATTAGACATTACCGAATTAGATTTATGCATGTTTATCAATCAAACTGGCTGTTTTGAACCGCTATTTCAAGTCCCTTTATCATACGCTGAAAAATGTTTCACGTTCGACGCTGTTCAGTGTACGTTTGCATCCTGAAATAAGTCAGTGTTCTTGTACAGGCTTCTCTCAGATCAGGTTACCATACTGAACTGTGCCTGGTCTGAATTTAAAATTACTTTGTTAATGCTAACTTTCGAAGTGAGCACTCTTCAGTGGACGACACCTGTCATTCAAAATGTGAAGTGATATCAGGTGCAAATTGTTTCTGGTAACGCGTAGCATGTCTAGTTCCTCTCTCTCCCTCTCTCTAATCTTTTGTGCAATTGTTAACCACGGTTCCCTCTCCTGAAAATTCGAAAGGTTCATTTTCTCGTGATTTAGCTCCCATCTGACTCGAACTTTTGTATCTTATGTTGTTAAAAGTAAATAGAAAGATCTTATTGCGCGGACCTCGTCGCGTATATTGGCGCATTAGCGAAGTGTGACAGATGTCAATCTTGTTTCTGTTGTGTATTACAGTTTCCATTAGAGTACTGCACGGAACTTCTGCAAGAGTCACAAGCATATCGTTAGGTCTATCAATTTGCTCTCCTGCAACTAATTACTCCCAGCTCAGATACTGTTCGTTTGGGATTCAGTCGGCGCCGGAATAAACGGCTGCCTCTTGTGTAAAGTACACTGGAGTACCTGATGTTTATTTGTATCCGAGCAAATGCTGAGCCAGTGACCTCCCATTCCCTTTGCTACTGTTTCATAAAGTTGAAATCTGACGACAATTTGCTTACGTTAGGCAGACAAAAACCGGTTTCCGCGGAACCTCACCTTTATTAAGATTTATGAAATTGGTCTCTTCTAACCCGTCACATTATGCGTAAAATAGCGCTTGCAGGTAGACTTGGACCTCTCTAATCGTGAAAATTCACTCTCCTTTTATTTGTAAGCCTTGTTATGAGCCCTTACTGGCTTAAAGGTGTTTATAGTCCACTAGACTTTCCTTATACAGAATCTGCCCTGGATAGGAGGCACATGTTTATTTGATGTTTTAGGCGTTCTTCGTTCCTTCATAGATAATCACGTGATCCATGCGATTCACGCGCACATCTCTCTTGAGATTTAACATTTTGCTGGAAGCATTAACCGTGTCCTCTGTACTATAACGTTGCACGAACTTCAAGGCACAATCTGCCTGCCTTTCCTTCATTAATAGTTTCCCCACCCATATTTTGGAACTATGTGTCTCTCTCTGCCTGGCTTTGCGCTGCAATAATCGCTCCTTATGTCCCCCCTCCTCCTCCTCCCTCACTTAAAAGCACTAATTTTAGTGAATAACGCAGCTTCCACGCCCGTTTCCCTTCCACTGCTGTGATTACTGGCCTCCCACTCCCCC